CCCCAAAACCCCAAAACCCCAAAACCCCATGAATCCTATTCATCAATATAATTAGTAATAGTCAAAATTGCCAAATTAATAGTTAAATACATACTTAATTAATTAATAAAGCCTTTGAGGAAATGAGCGATATGTCAAAAGACTATAAGAAAAATAAAAATTTTAAAAGCTAAGATAGACATTCCAAATATGATAATAACACTAAACAATATGAATCTAAATCAAATTATAGTTAGAATAAAGATGGGAAGGTGCTTGGAAAAAGAAATAGATATGAAGAATTGAACTAGTAATAATGGGACAAGGAGGATAAATATCATGGAAAGGAAGTGAAAGGTGATAATGAAGAGTCAAAAGAGGGAGGTTTTAATTCTGACTCTAGTGAGGAAATTGATCTTTACAAACAAGACAAGAAAAAGGGAGAAGTGATAAATGTTGAATTTGAGTTGGTATTACCATGTGAGACATATTATCATACTGTCAGAGCACTCCTTTCTCAATATCTTGATGGTGAAGAACAAGAGAAGCTTGACTTGTCTGGGTTAGCAGATTTAGTTGTTTCTTGTATTTCAATAGGGTCAGTAGTAGCAAGTGCTCTTGAACTAAATCCTGAGGATGATCCCTAATATAAACATTTAAATGACGAGGACTTCCAAAAGGTTGTTAATAAGCTTAATACATAAAGAGATGTATATGGTTTCACTACTGTATTGAGTCTTACTCGTAGAAAAAATCAACACAAATGCTTCCAATAAATAATTGACTATGTGACTGAGAAAGCTAATAAGCACTGTAATGACAAGTAAAAAGATCAACTTACTACCATTCTTAATAAGAAAAATGCGGGAATTCTTCTTAATGAAAGATTGATCAATTTACCATTTATGGAATTAGTTCCTTAGTTGCATTCATCTTTACCAGAAGACATTAAGTTTACAAAGAAACAAGATGATATCGAAGATCCAAGAGAATTTGATTATTAATACTTACTTTGCATCACAAGGTATACAATTGAAAATGAAAAGAGAGATGGCTTGAAAAAGTAAAAAACTGAAGGAGGAAACACTAAACTTTATTATAAGGCAGAAGATGAACTATTCTCAAGACATGCAGAAGTGAGTTTCTCATTCAAAACAATATTCAGAGAAACCATGTAAGATGGTTAGAAGAAGAACATCGTTGGAGGAGGAAGTGGCGCTCCAGAAACTCATTACAAGATGATATATTTGATTAAGTATTCTGAATATGAGAAGAGGTTAAAAGAAATTGCTAATTTCTTCTGAAAATGACCAGGCTCCAATCAAACCTAATTAAATTCATTTATTTAATTTAACTGACTTAAATAATTATTTAATCCATAGCTATCGGGGTTTTGGGGTTTTGGGG